CCAGGCTGTCCATTAGTACCCAATGGGATTAGAGCAATCGGCTTCCGTAGTGTACAGGAAATCAAAACTTACAAGTGATCATGGAGCCAGCTATAAATAACGGCAGAGAACAGAGTTAAATGGAAATGTGCAGCTAAAGCTCTATGTTACACCTGGAACTCAAGGAATGAACAAAATAACATTAATACACACGTCATATTGATGGATGGAATATACTTAGGCATAAATGACTAACTTCCACAAACTTGTTAGACAGAAGTAAGATATCCTGATTCCAAAGTTTTCGAATAGTCTAATTAAGACAGCAAAATGTTCAAGGCAATATAAATATTTTAAAACAGTGGTAGATGGGTGGTATCACTATTTGAAGCACAGGCCTTCATTAACTTAATTGGTAAAACGCCGGAACAATGTTAACCTGAAAACTACAGCGTCCAATGCTACCATCATGAATGCCTTCATTTCAAATATTATCATTATTGCTTGAGAACAAATTATTTTAAATAATGCGTTGGAAAATCAGAGTCCATCTAGTGTGTTTCCTCAAAAAAGATTTGTTGAAATTTACAAACGTATTATATCGACACAAAACTAGGTTTAGTAAACAAGTGAATGCACTCACTGTTGGTGATTGAAACGTTTGACAGACTTCCTTAATTCACTGAATTCATGAAAATAATGACTAATGCCTATCTAAACATTATCTTTTACAGTGAACCAATAAAATGTCGAATTGAAATCTTCGCATGATTGGCTAATTTGCTATATTCGATCGTAAACCAAGGCTACTTTTATTTGATTGGATAAAATTGAAATCAGTAGATTGTCACTGCTTCACAGACATTCTGATTTTACGAAGATTGCCAACAGTGACAAGATACAATATGTGAATGGATGCTTAATGCTGCGTATACGGAGGATTAGGAAAAAATCGAAAAATTTCATACAACTTCAAAGAACTAATATAAGTATAAATTTACTACCTGTTTACAGAGAAATAATAAGGCTATATTTTGCAGAAAACATTTGCAGACCAACTTACAATTAGGCATTAATACAAACTAACACATCTATTTGTATACTTAGTACAGTTAAATGTATACTTCGTGATTATATTTCACACATATATTTCATTGCATATCCTTCCCATGTGACAGTTCACTAGTCTAACAATCGCACTATCTCTGTGACAATAAAGCTGTACCAGTTGTTTTCATTTCGAAGGTGGGTTTTATAATGAATTAAAAGCAATTGAAAAGCCAATAAAAATCCAGAAGACCTGTAAAATTGTTTCAGTGAAGGATGAGGCCTTGCGACAATGTCCATCAGTGATATGTGAGTAGTGTTATATAAGAGAGTTTTAGAAACCGTTCTGCTACTGTCGAACCACTGAAGCATTATTGTCCAGTGCTTGACATTCGCCGCATTATCAGTAAAATCCAGATGTGCTTTAATTTCCCCAGTGCGTTGTTAGGTCAGAAGTAGGACACTTGTCAACCACTTGGGAAGTCTGAGTGCTACTAACGGCTGACCCAGTCCTAAACCTCACCTAGTTTACAAGTCTAGAAAAGGGGAAGAGTCGGGTGTGATGCTGGAAACACCACAAATACTGAAATTTCAAAGCGTACAATCCTATTTTCCACTTGCGATTCAAGGAGTGGAAAACCGTTCGCAACGGTCATCATTTGTCGTGGAAAGTTTCGCATCCTTGTACTCAGTCCTTCTTGGAGTCATTCGTGTATTTACTCTGCTATGGCATCTGGAAATAAAACCTGATATTGATCCAGCTTTTCTGCTTTCCAATAGAAACCTTACTAATGTAGATTTATGAAAAACATCGAATTGAAACAGCTTCATTCTTCACAAGCTTATCAAGTGCAAAATATTATTATTGGTAAATCTGTTATGCTTTTGGTTGTGAGAATAAGTGTCTGCTATGAAACCGTTTTTAATTGGTTACTCGAAAAATCGGCTAGAAATGTGACTTCATGTTTTGACGAACTGGATGGCTTTGTTATTTTTATATTTCCTTACAGTTTAGTTAGTTGAATAAATGGCTTCAATAGGGTAGTATTCAATGAGATACCATAAGTGATCTCAATCGCCTACCTTCCTGTGTAATCAAGAGAAAGCTGACAAATCCTCAGATTTGTAACTCATAGCACACAGCATTTTAGTCTTATGAGGTAGTCTCAGTCTACTTCAACAACTGAATTCATACAGAACCGAACAAACCACACTCAATCATTTACGGCTCTGTAATTCAATGGACATTAACTTAACTCCTTTAAAGTGTACAATTTGGAGACCAAATCTGATACCAGAAGCTGTTGCAACTCGAGCTGCAAGAATGTATATTAAAGTCAGTACAGTTAAAAATCTCATGATTGGATGTGGATAGTTTGGTCGCGTTCCACTGCTCGTTCACAGTTTCAGTTATGATGACAACTTGTGTTCCGCTGGGTGCAGTGGCTGTGCACCCCACCCAAACCAAGCATCTTACACACATCTCACATTCCTCAATGTTTTGCATATATTCTACCGATAAAAATAATTTCAAGACAACCAGTGTGGAAGTTCTAAAGACAAATTCAGAATACCAATTTCATATGATATGTGGCCGAATTGAATAATAATATTCCATTCTTCCATCCTATGTTTTAGTTCGTTGAACGTGTTTAAACTAGCAGAGCTCCATGTCCTTTAATTGTATTGATTCTCCCTTCTAAATACAAGAAACTCATAAGGTGCATGGTTGGTTAAAAATACATGATACTAAGAATTACCAATAGCCATGAAATCTGTGGTGCATCTGCACTACCTTTGAGTAAACTCCTAACATATTTTGTAGTTGATTTTGCATATTAGACTGAAAAATTCTGTCTCTGTTGTCATTTCAGCTTCTAGTGTGAAGACGTTTGAGGAGTAACATCAGGTTATTTGGTGGATGGTGATTAGCAGTGGGATCAAGGATTCTCATTTCATCCTGTTCATCCTGGGACTCGTCACATGGATGCCCTTGAAATTCCCAGTAATTTATGGTGTTCTCACTGAACTACTGACCCAAGTTGCCTAGTGAATAGTACTTTCGCACCTGAAACGGTGGGTGGTGGTTTCGAGACTTGGTGTGAATACAATCACCGACCGGGAATTTTTTGTATATAAAAACGACGACTCTCCAGTAGGGCGAAATCCACATCCTGGATTCCACTGATAGTCACCACCCACTGGAGAACTTCTAATATTTTAAGCATTGCGAGTATTTAGGACTGAAGCGTAAAACTGGACTACATTATCAATCCCGAGTAAGCTCAGTTTTCCTTTAATTACCGTTCATATGATTCTCAAGTGACATAGCTTCAGATTTCGGGAGGTGACGCATTTTCAAAACACCTATGTTTAATGGTCACAATACATCTATGAGGATATTCTCCAACTACAAGCTGCACATCTCGGACATTCTTGAACACCAAACTAATGAGTAATATTTAAGTCGTTACCTAATAATTCTCTTAATATTTCCAACGAAACACTTTACACTGGTTCAATTATGAGGAGTAAATTATGCCCAGAATTCCATCAAGTTAATCATACTGTATCAGTGCGTCTTACATCAAATAATGTTATCTGATGTGGAATTCCGCCCTCACCCCACCCCACCCCACCCCACACCAGCCCAACCCACCCTCCGTGTCTTAAATTCTAGACACGGTATATACTTTTATTTCTACGTTCTTACTACTTATTTATATTAAGTAAGCATATGTTACTTCGATCATTTATCCTTAATATGAATCGCGAATCTAACAGCACAAAATATTGAGTTGCAAGTGGAATATTATCAACAAGAAACATGATGATTTGCACTCACACTTACTTCAACCTCAATGAATATGAAAATAACTTGGAAAATGAAAGAGAAATTGCTTCCTATGAATCTATTGATCTATAAACTGAAATCTATTATATGCTCCTTCTGCATTACTGCATTTTAGAGAGACAGAGGTATTTACTACGGCGAAAATTCACGATGACCAACTATAATTATGCTTAAATCAGTAGTACCGATGTCACGAGTATAGCGGAATCGACGTCTATGGGTGATGTATTCTAGAAGTGGGTAACTATCTCAAAGGATATATATATATATATTATTTACAGTGTGCAAAGGGGATATCTTTGTCACGTGGTAACTGAGATTGCAGAAGTGGAGCCATATTAACGAAAAAAGGCACTAAGGGAGGTAAATGCTTTGTTTCGAAGCAATGAAGGTTAAGGAGGATTTATATGAGTTCAGGAAGCTCAGATTGTGCCACTTGGTGACGTGGCTTCTAGACACTAGAGAAGTCGCAGATACGCCGTATTAACAAGTACCAGGAACATTGGCGACTCTCAAGTAACTAACCAGTTCAATTTATGATATTGTTCAGTGTAAAATTTGAAGAAACCTTTTATCCTTTCAAAGAATATTCAATGTGGATAAGTGGCTGATACTGAGTGAAAGACACAAGATCTTAGACTCAGGTTCTGAAACCTTTTGCAGTAAACAGTTACATGTGTCTGCAAATGTAATTGAATTACTTCGTGCTCGACTAACAATAGTGAACTTTTTAGAACTCGGTTATGCATCATTTGTGAGTGGATTATACAATGAGCTGAAATCGTTTGCAGAATCAGAGAGAATAGAATAGTGAGACTCTTCTACAACGTACACTCATGCCACTGAATTTCAATCCATGGTCTTCCTGGTTAAATGCTCACCTCATAGGTCAAAAAGCGGCTGGGTTCGACCACTGGCGTCATTGTTCGGGTCACCCCAAACTCACAAATACAGGACGGAAGACCATTTAAAATGCGGTTTTGTCTGTAATAGTTTTCCCATAATTTAGATTTATGACAGAATCTACCGCGAAATCAATCAAATCACAATAAATTTAACAAAGTTCAAGCACAAAAACGCACACACACACAAATTCAATTTAATTTTAATTCCGACTCACATACATTCTGACATTCTTCTCTTCAATATTCAATCTGTTTATTAATCGTGAATAAGAATATTAACTTATTCTTAATTACTTACAGAATTTATTTCAACGAAACAATGTCACCATTATTACTATTGTGTGCCAAATCCTCCTTATCGTCCTCTTCCTTTAATAGCGATTATTAAATTAGAGATCCAATTTTCAAGTTGCGTTTAGTTTCTGTGTGTGTATGTATGCATGTGTGTGTGTGTAGGTATGTATGTATGTATGTGTGTGCGTTAACTAGAAGTGTTGGTATTGATTTAGTGTCAATAACAAACTGGTTTAATTTGTAATTCAAAATGAATTTCTCTGTGGTATTAACTGCATGAATTTTAATATTTATTCAAGGAGAGCTCAGCAGGATTTGTAAGTGGTATTGGTTACAATCTATTGGTGTTATCCTAAGCAGACATCAGGCTGAGGAGCATAACGGCACTACAGTTCTTTTCCGGGTGTTTAATGTTACGCGTTGTAATGTCCCGTTCGTCTTGTTAGAGTTCAGGATACGAAACACTTTTGATCTCACACCACCAGTTCCCTCATTGTTGAAGGTACGCATTGTTGACGAGTGCCAGCAACCTCGAAACATCAGCCTACAACTTCCAACCAACCTGCTTTCAATCATCCGACATCCATTCAAAGTGCATGGCGATGAAGACTCACCATACACTGCACACGTGGCCAGTGGTGATAGAAGTGAATAGCTTTAAAACTTAAAACTAGACACATGACATTGGTTACACTCCGGTAACCAGTGAAAGTGTATATTACAAGGCTTTCAGTGGTTTTTAATTCAGTTAATGTGAATTTCATCTGATGCTTACTAGTGACTGACCGCAGAGGGAAGACTCCTTTCGTTCTTGAGTGAAGTGGTGACCAATCAGGTCCACCATATCGTCTTTGAGGACGAATACTCACCAATAACACAGACTGCCAGTTGTACAATATATTGCAAATTGACGGAATTTTGAATTCACTGACTGGCCACTGGTCCCCGTTCCAGATGTCCAGTTGTCAACGCACTCGTCTCGTAACCTCAAGGTCACGGGTTCAATCCCCGATTGGGTCATGCGTGTCTATTACCGAAGGGCTCAAAATTAGAAGGACAAAGCTATCCAGTACAATCTGGTTTTCACTGGTTCTCTGTATGGAATCAATTCATGATCATCAAACTTGAAATAAATACCATGAAGTGCTTTCAGAATAACGGAAAATTTTCACTGTCAACGATAATTCTTTCCTTCAATGAATACTGGTTAGAATTCGATCAATCAACAGAAGATAAACATACAACTCTTTGACAAGATTTCAGAGTATGGAAAACTCCAATGTAGGCTTTTGGCATTCTACCATCATTGTACATCATTTCTCCAAACAAACAGTTCTCTTACTAAATACTAATGTGTTCCGCTGTTATATTATGACTGAAATGTTGAATATGAATTTTTATTCACTCACCAAACGCATGTGTTTCAATTCTGGCAGAGGAGTAATCACCACTTCAACAGACAAAACATTGTCAACAACTGTAGGTAAAAAGGACTAAATTTGTTCCTGTTTTTATTTCATTGTGTATTTTTTGTCAAATGTTATTAGTACGAAGTAGCTGATGCCTGGTGAAATGTTGACTTCTAGTAGCGACCCTTCGACAGTGTCTGAAGATTAATAAGAGGTCATTTTGTTGATGGTGTCTAACAGTGGAACCTAAGACGCACATTCAATTCTATTCGGGACACATTTGTTGGACACAACTGCCTCCCTGTAAGTGATGGTATTCCCGTAAGAGCAGCTAAAAAGATTTTAAACAATCTTTTTAGTATTCTAAGATAAAAGATTATTCCGTGAAATATAAAAGTTGATTGAAACTGTCTAAATTTGAGATATTTTGGTGCTTCGTGTAAGTGTAATCAATTACGAGGAGTCATTCAGATAAATTTCACTTCCGGTCTGCGTTTATTCGCGATAATTATCAAACAATTTATATTGCAACCTTTCTTTAGTGATATTTATTTCAGAGGCTGCATAATAGGACACTGTCTCAACAGCTAAATAATTTCATTTTGTCATCCAAATTCCATTCGCTCCATCAGAAAATATGTTCACATAATAGAGTTCTCAGCAGGGTTTAGTGATAAAATACACACGAAGTAATGCAACAGATCGTTAGTCACGTTCTTCAACGAAGATTTTGTGATTAACCGACTTCATGGATCGCTAGACAGTGGTTTCGTCCTAGTCTGGGACCTTCCAACAGTGCGCACCCATTACCTCACCACAGACCGAACCTAGGATCTCCAGTCTAGGAGCAGAGCACCTCATCGTTATTCTTACCGCTCGTGAATCCAATGAAGTATGAGTTATGACCTTCATCATTTCGCAGAATAATGCTACTGCCAATCAATAACATCGATGAGTATTCACTTGACACCGCGTTTACGAAAATGAATAGTCAGGCATTTCAAATGAATAATCATATGACGCTGACCAAAACGATGAACATCTCTCACAAATCCTTTCTGACAAGAAATTATCTGCCAGACTGTATCTTATAGAGAATAATTTCACAAGATGGATTATACACACTTTCTACAGAAATTATAAAGAAGACCGTACCAAATATAAAATCAATGAGATTTCCTATGAAAACAATCAGAACATGCATACAGAAATGCTTGTGAAGTTAAATTGATATCTGTGTGAATAGATTCGCATTTCGACCGTTCAATTTCATTGCATTAAAAAGTACTCGCTCTCAAAATTCTCTCAGCGTAAGTTTCTGTATCACACTAGGGGGCATGAGCAACCAAAGCACAGAATGCCAGTCAACACTCTACCTCAAATTCATCTACTTCTATAGGGCCTTCGACAGACAGTGTTGACCGAGAAGTAATTTGGAAACTACTTCAACACTACGGCATGCAGTGCACAAATCTTTATCAACTCCATTCATCAGCTGGCTATATGACAATGTCAAGTGTCAGTCAGCTGATCCACAGCGGAAAACCCACTCAGTCAGGCGTTTGAAGTGAATGCAGGAGTAAGAGTACCTGACTGCCTATTATCACCGGCGATATTCTTAATTGTGGTGGACCAGATTATGCGTCAGAATGTGCGACGAGAGTGAGAAGACAGGAATACGTTGGACCGCCAATAAGAAGACTCTACAAGATCTGGATTTCACGCGTGTATGATTCATGTTTAACGTCACGTTAACTCGAAGACTTGCAGGTGGAAAGTAACAAATTGGCTGAAGAAGCAGGCGGTGAAGACAGGACTCCAGGTGAACATAGAGAAGACGGAGGTGGTTGAGGTAAGCGAACAACAGCACTAACAGCAACAACGACCAGCACCAATCACCATCAACGGGAGAGATTTGACAGAGGTTACTCTCTCCCTCACTTATCCAGCCAGGAAGCCCAGTTTCGACCACAGACACTCTGAACGGATGAAGATGTCAAAACCAGCCAGAATCGGAATGGCAAGATGCACCTTCATCGATCTGAAACCAGTTTGGAAATCTTCTGCACTCACCTCAGCATAGAGAACAAGATTCGGATTCTCACCACCAATGTGAAATCAGTCAGTCAGTCAGTTCTTCTATTCTGCTCAGAAGATTGCACTGCGTGTCATGAAAAGCATTTCCAACAGCCAGTTGCAGACTCTTATCAACAGCTGCCACCTTCGCTGGCTGCTCCATACTGAACATCAGATGGCTGATCAGCCAGGAAGAATTAGCAACAAGAAACTCTGGCTGAGAACAAACCAACCAATAGCCGACTGTACAACAAATATGTAGGAGAAAATGGAGGTGGATCAGGCATACACTACTGAGGAGGCCATCGAATAACATCACGCTCAATGAAGGCCATCTCTCGATTGGCATCCGAATTGAAGGAGGCGGGTGGGTCGTCAGTGAGAGGGTGACATGGAGGAGATCGTGTGGCGAGGACGAGATGAGAGATTATTGGCGACAGTGTACCCAGGTGAAGAGGACGGTAGAAAACAGAGCAATGTGGAGATGTGTTGTTGAAGCCCTTTGTTCCACTCGGGACCCAGGTGAATAATAATAGTGATAATCTCGAGGCGATTCTCTAATGAATGTATTTGTTGATCCGACACAGAAGAGTATTCAATGGAAGACAATCAATTGCTCATCGCATGCTGTGAATGTATAGTGTATTTACGTATAAAAGTGAATTTATTTTACTCCTTAGTAATCTATGCATCTAGGTATGACGAAATGAACAAAATCTTCTTTTCACTTTTCATAAGGAGTAGTTTGCTTCTTTTAAAGTTTTGTGAGTAGTAAATTTTATTGAATGAGATGATCTGTGAGCTTTTCTGGCTCAGGTTCTGTGTTAACAAAAACCAGTTTAAAGCAAGTCAAGCAAGATCAGAAGAAGCGATACAACACCCAAAGCGTTGAATTGAAATACAGTTGAATGGAGCTGTCTTAGACATTAACATTTGACTGACTGTCATCTGTCTTCTTCTCAAGGAGGAGAATTTTCAGTGTCACAGATATCATGAATTGAATAGGCTGCTCCAATGACACCCGGTGGGTCACTGGTCGAAGTCTATTTATTAGTCAAACAATACAGAGATCCGGCTAAATAACCTACCTTCTTATTAATTACATGTTAGGAATCGTAGCCGGTATCAGTTTTGTTTTGAGATGCTTAGTCATATTGTCTCACTCCTGCTCTGGGTGACTGTGGCGTGAAACCTTAAGAAAATAAGGCTTCCAAATGGCAGTTTAATTTTCGGTGGTGGGTGTCAGTCAGTCAGAAGCTCTGAACTTAGCTTTCACGGTAGTCAACAAGGCGTAACTGCACCGCTGGTGAATCAAGCTCGTATTATCCAGTGCTTCAGTCACACATGTTACTGGTGAACTATTGATCGTTGATAGTATGGCAAAAGTGAATGGTAGAATTCAGTAATTGCCAACACTAAAGAATAGATAGGTGACATTGCTTACTCTCTGGTGACCAATTAATGTATCCA